GATCCTCCTGTCTCAGCCTCCCAAAGTGTTGGCATTACAGGTGTGAGCCACTATGCCAGGCCACAAAACTGGTATTTTGAGTCAAAGAGTCTATATTTGATTAAATTCTTGGTATTTTTGCTTGATTGTTCCTGGAGGATGGAATGTAAATTGGCATAATCCTTCTTGAAATCCACATAAGCAAGTACTGGTTATCTTCACCAGTGCCAGGTGCTTTTGCTTTTTTCCTCACCACCTTTTGAGACTTATAACAAGTAGAGAATTTAACTAGAAAAATTGTTTTCCTACAAATGACAATATCTTTAATTGCTTAATTGCTATCTTGTCTTCATAGCTAATATTAATGAATTAATATTAATAATTGTCATGTAAGAACAAAAAGTTCACCAGAAATATGGCACTTATGGAGACATAGCACTATGAGTGTTAAGTCATTTCCTAGGCAGTCATAATGGAATTAAAACCGTCTTTATTTTGAAAGTTATTGGCCTTTGATGATCCAGGAATGAGATAGATGTTTCCAATAAAAACCAGTGTTTTTTCCATCTAAAACCTAAATTGTTTAATTTGGTCATGCAGGGTTTTTTACTTGTTTGTTTTATATATACACACATATACACACACACACACACACACACACACACACACACACACACACAGAGACCTGTTTGGTATATCTAATTGGAAATAGTTTTAAAGCAATTGGAATGAGAGTGATTGTGGACTTGGGATATATGCATGGATCCTTTTTTGGCTTTATGTAAGAATATATTCTTTAATATACTATTATTTTACCTTACCTAACAATTATAGCTATATAATATAGCTGTTCAAAAATCCGGAAGAAGAAAAAGGAAAAGAAAGCCTCCTGATCTGTCAAAGTAGCTGTCATAAAAACTTACACTGAAATCCTGAGCATCCCTTAGAACTTCTCTCAGTGCATATTTAAACTTTTGACTCTATTGTACTTTTTAATTATAACCATATTGGAAATGTAAGGAAGAAGAAGTTTCCTATAGTCTCTTTGCCCTAATAAATGAATTGTTATTTTTCATGTTCTCTCTTTTTTTTTCATTATGCAATTTTAAGAAGTGTACTTGTTTGGTTTTCCAGCCTATAATAGATTAGAAACCAAATGAAAAGGGATGGAGTGCTTCAGGGACAGATACCTGCATGCTGGAGCAGCTAGAGGCGTGTACATTCAGTTGAACTTGAGGACATTGTCTCATGTGATTATTAAACTCGATGATCTCTGATCATCAAGAAAAGTAAAATAACATTTTTTATTATCTGTTTAAGAACACAGAAAAGTCAGCAATTTAAATTGGATCATTTAAAGGCAACTATATCAGAATCTATATCTATAGTTATATGAATGTAGCAGTTTATTTGCAAAATTCCTGAAAGGAAGAATTTTATCACTACCAACAACCTCTCCACCCAGATGAGGCAACTAGACAAATCTTGGTGTGTTTTAGTTAGCCAAGCAAGGTTTAGTTAAATGGACATTTAAAGAATCCTCTAGTGAGCCATTCCTTTACAAAGAGTTGAAATCCCTGTGCTATATTGGCTAAAAGTTTATGATTTATGGGATGTCTAAGACTTCACTGATAGAAACCTAATCAGATGGTTAGAGGTGTTGGGCAGTTTAGAACCTGCTGGCATAAATGGGTGAATAAATTTTTTAAATCTAAGCTATTGACCTGCATATTTTTTCTTCACCTAACTCATCTTCTCCATGTAGACTCAAGTCTTTTCAGTTTCTGGGTTACTGGTTCAGCAGAAGCCAGGAAAACCAATAACTTTGTAGTAATCAGAATGTTATCCAACTGTATATTGTTGTTTACTTTATTGTAAATACTGGTGAACAGTGAACATTGATCAAGAAATAGTTTTATATTCCTTTTTTAAAAAAGAACACAGAAAAGTCTATAAAAATATTTTGAAAAATTTCTAAAATAGAATAAAATTGGTATGTCAAGTAACTGGAAAATATACCTTGTGAAATCTCTGTGTTAGTTATGCTTTTGGGTTGCAAAGAATGGAGACCCAGGTTGCCTGAAGTAATGGGAATTTAATACTGTGTAAGGGGCCAGGCTCAGTGGCTCACACCTGTAATCCTAGCACTCTGGGAGGCTGAGGTGGGAGGATTGCTTGAGCTCAGGAGTTCGAGGCCAGCCTGAGCAAGAGCAAGACTCTGTCTCTACAAAAAGTGGAAAAATTAGCCAGGCATAGTGGTGTGCACCTGTAGTCCCAGCTTCTTGGGAGGCTGAGGCGGGAGGAAGATCACAAGAGCCCAGGAGTTTGAGGTTGCAGTGAGCTATGAATGACACCACTGCACTCTAGTCAGGGGGCACAGAGTGAGACTGTCTCAAAAAAAAAAGTATGTGAAGACATGATTAAACATAGGAATAATAAACTGGAGAGCAGTTCTTGTGGCCCCAACAACTATAGAAGTCTTTACTCTTCTTGTTACTTTTATTTCTCAAGTCTTTGCTTTTGCTTGTCTTCTTCCCTTGCGGTTAATTGACAGTTTCACTTCACTTTGTCCTCCTGTCTGCCCAGTGGCTTCTGTTTCATGCATGTCTCTTGGCCCATGCTTCATTTGACTGTCATTCAGATTTCTTAAAAGAGAGAATCTGAGTGAGTTAATTGATCATTTTTCAATTCAGGATACTTATATTAGGCAGAATTCTCTGGCTAAAATTCAGAGTTTCCAGCCAGCCCATAAATAATTGCCTTTGGTTGGGATGCTGAACGTTTATGTCTAAACTGAAAGTCCTGGTTGTGACCAAGGTGATGGGGTCATAAAGCCTGGTAACCTATACATGTAGCTACTTTTTTCAGAAGTAACTACTTGCCACTTAAAAACCTTTGTAACAGGGATTATAAACTCAATTTTCTAAAGGGCCAAGGGGACTGGTGAACTAGAGAGTACATGCCCCACTTAAAGGGGGGCAACCTCTACTCAACTTTAGTCAGTTGTTACCATGTAGCAATATAGGTTCAATGTTGCTAGATATACCTTTTTTTAACCAAAAAAAAAAAAAAAAGAAGAAGAAGAAAGAAAGGGCCAGGTGCAATAGCTCATGCCTGTAATCCCAGCACTTTGGGAAGCTGAGGCCAGGAGTTCAAGACCAGCCTGGTCAACATAGCAAGACCCCGTCTCTACAGAAAATTTTAAAAATTAGCCAGGCATGGTGGCATGCGCCTGTAGTTCTAGCTACTCTGGAGGCTGGGGCAGAAGGATCGTTTGAGCCCAGGAGTTCACGGTTGCAATGAGCTATGATCACACTACTGCACTTCAGCCAGGGTGGCAGAGTAAGACCCTGTCTCGAAAAAGAAAAAAACAACCCAGAAGTCCGGATTATGTAAAATCTCTTAATTTTTGTTGATAACTCTCAATACTGTAGTTGTTGACGACTATTTTGAATATTTAAAAAACATATTGTGCAGGCCAATCAAAACACATCTGTGGATTAAGAATTTGTGATTCTGGCCTTTTAATATGGCTGATACAACATTTTTCTGTAATGAGGCTGGCCAAATGAGGTCTCAGTGTATGTAAAGCAGTCTAGTATATTGGAAAAAGGCATGGTGTTAAAACTTTCTAGATCTGTGATCTTGGGTTAGCCACTTCAACTCTCTGAGCTTTTCTTAACTTACAGGGTACTTTTGAGGCTCAAATTTCACTATCTTAGAAGTGATTTCTGATCATCCTGCCTAAAATAGCACCCCACAAACACCCTAATTACCTTGATTTGTTTTTCAATATATCACTTATTATATTATAATCATCATCATCATGACCATCATCATACAGGTTCAGCATCCCCTATTCAAAGTGTGTGGGACTGTAAGTGTTTTGGATTTTGGATTTTTTCAGATTTTGGAATATTTGTAGAATACATACTGGTTGAGCCTCCCTAATCTGAAAATCTGAAATCCACAATGCTCCATTGAGCATTTCTTTCGAGCATCGTGTCCATGTTCAAAAAGTTTCAGATTTTGGAGCATTTTAGATTTCAGATTTTCAGATTAGCATAATGCTCAACCTGTATGTATATTATTTATAATGTATGTTATAGTAGTATAATCTGATCTTATACAATGTATGTATTTGTATAGTTGTTTATCTATGTTATTTAGCCTACTACCTAGTACAGTGCCATAAAAATATGATCATGGGCCAGGCGTGGTGGCTCACACCTGTAATCCTAGCACTCTGGGAGGCTGAGGCAGGCGGATCGCTCAAGGTCAGGAGTTCGAGACCGGCCTGAGCAAGAGCGAGACCCCATCTCTACTAAAATTAGAAAGAAATTAATCGGACAACTAAAAATATATAGAAAAAAATTAGCTGGGCATGGTGGCGCATGCCTGTAGTCCCAGCTACTCAGGAGGCTGAGGCAGAAAGATCCCTTGAGCCCAGGTGTTTGAGGTTGCTGTGAGCTAGGCTGATGCCATGGCACTCTAGCCCGGGCAACAGAGTGAGACTCTGTCTCAAAAAAAAAAAAAAAATATGATCATGAAAAAGTGGATGATGAAAGCATTATATATGGACTTTACAAATATATGTTTATTATTTGTTACTTAACTCATTCAGTAATGTATTAATAGAAAGAATTCTTTGGGGATGAAGTGGAAACAAAAGTGCCAACAGTGATATAAAATAACCTCACCTGACTTTTGATTATGTATAGGTTAGCCGATGAATTGCACATGCCATCTCTCCCTGAAATGATGTTCGGAGACAACGTTTTAAGAATCCAACATGGCTCTGGCTTTGGGATTGAGTTCAATGCTACAGATGCGTTAAGATGTGTAAACAACTATCAAGGAATGCTTAAGGTAGCCTGTGCTGAAGAATGGCAGGAAAGCAGGTGAGAGTCCAGTCAGTTATGGGTTAAACAAAAAGAAAAGTTGAAAGAGATATTCAGTAGTGATATATAAGTGTTTTGTTAGAATGAGAGCCTAGTATTACAATTAAAGTTTATAGTCGTATCATTCTAGAATTCAAGTACCCCGCTACTTCAATACTTGCTGAGTTAAATTGAATTACAATTGAGGTGAGCTATATAGGGTTTACTTTTTCAAGCCTTCAGTGTTCCTTGGTGAAGAGACAGTACATTGTACTTAATGTTCCTGTTTTTTTAAGAAAATGTTTATGACTTGCATTGAATATTTGAGTAGCATTGAAATTAGGAAAAAAATTTATTTTCTTTGATAATAAATCAGCAATTATTTACTTTGTGCCTATTATGTACTAGATATCTTGGAGGATTCAAAGAATTATAAGCCTTTAAACTTATACATGTCTTCAGGCAGTGTACAGACTAATTGGAAAGACTACATCAGCACACGACAAGTTAAATAACAATAGATGTGCAGAAAACTGTAAGAAAAATCATGTAATAGTGCATTTTGACAAGTGTATGTATCTAGTACGATATTTTATATGTTATTTGTAAAATGTAATTTGATGTGGTATATGAATAGAGGTAATTTATATTCTACATCACTGAATCTGATCCTTCTCATTTTGGTATTTGAGGACGGAGGGTGAGCACTCCAAAGAGGTTATTAAACCTTATGATTGGACCTATACGACAGATTATAAGGGAACATTACTTGGAGAAGCTCTTAAGTTAAAGGTAAATCTTACTTTTTGCTTTTATGAGTCATGAATTGTTTTGGACAGTCTCAGCAATAGAACTTTCTAGTAATGGATTATTTTTTTGCCACTACTTTCATTGTCCTTATTTTCTATTGTGGCAGGCTTCAGAACCTAATGTGAGGGGATTTTGCTTGTTGATTTATCAGCAGAAAATAAAAGAAGGCCATAGTGGAACAATACTTTTAAAAGTGTGGTTGGTAGCAATGGCCAACTGCCTTAATGTTAATCATTATTACCATCAAGAAGCATTAAAATATTGATCTGTCCTTGGTAATGCATTAGGTGCTTTAGACAGAACCTGCTAGCTAGTAGCTTATAAATTTATAGATGAACAAATAGGTGGGCAAAGAGAACTTTTGGTCAATGTTAAGCTTGTATCCTGCCTGCACTGAGTATGAACCTGGTATAACTTTAGGCAAGTTATTTAATCTGTCTGAGTGTCAATTTTATCAGGAAATTGAGTAAACATAAATATCTACCTCACAGCAGGGTTTTGATATGAAATACTTTATGGGAAAGTTCTTAATAAATTCTAAAGCTCTGTATTAGTGTTAAGTTGCGTCTGTGTAAGCCCTGCTTAAGAAGAGATTAACTTCATGGTAAATGACGCTAGTAAGGTGGAATTGGTAGGTCTTATATTGGGAATTTAGCTGTATTTTGAAATCTTATAGTATGACAGAAATGAAGCAGATTTGACTTGGGTTGTTTATCTCTAACTATCACAGACTATTATTGAGAATGAAATTATTTCAGTATAAACTATTTATACTAATATTAAAAGTAACTATTGGAGACCCTGTATCATATGTTGGTGCTTAGGCAGAGATGTTGAGAAGATAGAGTAGTATATGGGCTCCTTGTCTGTGCAGAAATTTTTTTTTTTTTAAGACTAGTCAAGTGCAGTAGTGAGGAGGGGGGAAAGTAGTAGAACAAGGAGTTCAATCTGTAACTGACTGTGAACAATCAAGTGAGATAACTCACTACCTTTGGACCAGCCTGTGCAGAAATTTTGATAGTCTTGGGAAGATAAATTCATGGCAGGAACATAATAATTTTTATCTTCAGTTTCTGCCTTTCCTACCTGCCAAGTTTTAACTATTTTTCTGTGCTTCTAGTAAAAAACACGGTTTTTGAGGGAACGTGTATTCATTCATTCATTCAACAGATATTTCTTGAGCTCTTACTACTTGCCAGGCACTACTCCTAGGAGCTGTGGATACGAGAGAGAACAGACAAAAATTCCTCCTTTATGGTCTAATCGGAGAGCAAGGTTATTTCAGTCCCTTATAATGCTTCATAGATAAGTGTTCTCCCTCCTCTCTTCTGATTGAAAAGCTTTGCAGAGAGCATAAGCCATTTGATATTTCATTATGAGGAGTAAGGAAATGGGAACTTGTTTTAACCCCATGCAATAATGATGATGACTTACTTTGTGGGCTCACTCAGGAAAAGCCTCTGGGAAGCTATGAAGTAGCATTAACTGTGACTGAGGAGCAAGAACCGCAGCAGTAGAAACAGGGAGTGTGAGAGTAGTAGGAGGTGAAAAGCTCGTGTTCAGTACTCTCTTCTTGACACTTCAGCCTACAATGTAACTTGTTCTAAGGTGTTGCTGATAAATGGCAATGTGATTACCCACTCAGTGGTGGTAATGAGTGGCATTGGCAGAACACAGATGAGGGTTCAAATCCCAGCATCATCATTTACCAGCTTGGAAAAGCAATTTAATCTTACTAAACCTTGCTTCTCATTTTGGTAAACTGGGATAATACCAGCTGTAGGTAGGAAATAAAATTGTATACGTAGCCCAGGCACAGCGGCTCACGCCTGTAATCCTAGCACTCTGAGAAGCCAAGGCGGGAGGATCTCTTGGGCTCAGGAGTTTGAGACCAGCCTGAGCAAGAGCAAGACCCTGTCTCTACTAAAAACAAAAAAAATTAGCTGAGTGTGGTGGTGTGCACCTGTAGTCCCAGCTACTTACGAGGCTGAGACAGGAGGATCACTTGAGCCCAGGAGTTTGAGGTTGCTGTGAGTAGCTGACGCCATGGCACTCTAGCCTGGGCAACAGAGCAAGACTCTGTCTCCAAAAAAAAAAAAGTCTCCTTATAGATGCTCCTGACTTCCAAAAAAATTAATTATTATGTGAATTTTCTCATCGGAAAATTGCTGCTTTATTAATGTTTCATATATGCCTTCAGTAATAATTAGTTAAAATGAATCCATCAGTCTTGCCATTTATATACTTGTTGTTATAAAATGTTTGAAAGAGAAAGACAAAAATCAATTAGATAAAACATGAGTTAGAGACATTGGTTATATTTAACTTTATGCTATCTTCTTTCACTGGCAATGACAAATACTTTTAAAACTTTATACTTCTCAGCCTTCTCTCTTCCTCAACTCTATTTATCTACTCCCTGAATTCAGGCACCTGGAAAAAAACAAAAAACAGCTAAACTTAAAACATATGGAACACTTTTGGCTTCCAGTATTGGCAGAATAAATAATCTAGACAAACCCTTTTGCCAAAGACAATTTAAGAACCTGGCTGAAAAAACAAAAACTTCTTTTTTTTTTTTGAGACAGAGTCTTTCTCTATCGCCTGGCTAGAGTGAGTGCCGTGGCGTCAGCCTAGCTCATAGCAACCTCAAACTCCTGGGCTCAAGCAATCCTCCTCCCTCAGCCTCCTGAGTAGCTGGGACTACAAGCGTGCACCACTCCACGCAGCTACTTTTTTCTATTTTTAGTTGCCCAGTTAATTTCTTTCTATTTTTTAGTAGAGACAGAGTCTCACTCTTGCTCAGGCTGGTCTCCATCTCCTGACCTCAAGCGATCCTCCCGCCCTGGCCTCCCAGAGTGCTAGGATTATAGGCGTGAGCCACCACACCCAGCCCAAAAATTTCGTAAAAACATCAAATGGCCAATGCAGTAAGGAGTTACTAGGCAGAGATCTAGAAGAAGATGGAGTCTAGAAAAGTGAATCTGTACTTCGCTGACTT